TTTAAAATTAATTTCCCAGGGAAAGAGAGAGTACCCTGGGAGCGAGGTTGTACTCGTCCCCAGGGTCATCTCCGCTTTCAAGATGGCGGGCGGGGAGTTTAAAGCGATAGTTTATTGATAGCTGGGCACGAGATGTTTGTTGGTGAAATGATTGATGACCTCCCAGACCAATCGAAGAAAAAAAAATACTCGCAAAAATGGCTTGCATGACTTGCATGACTTGCATGGCTCACATGACTCGCATGGCTCTCTGGCTCACAGATTTAGCAGACCTGGGAGGGGGGGAGGCTATTTATGACCAAAATCTATGATTTTCCCTACCCTATAACCTGACTAAAAATTTGATATCCTATATTTATGAATTTGCAGTTACCGTAAACATCATTTGTGAAGGGCTTTTGTTGATAGTCTTATTGACAATAATATGATAAGAAAGTAGCTTCTTCTAAAAAACATACCCAATTAATTCAAGACTGGAGAGCAAAAACCATACCCTACATGTACATGTATTTAAGACCAAATGGCCAAAATCAATACACTATTAATATTATGAGCAAAACGGCTGGAAAACCATACCCTTTGGGGCTGCACATACCTACAATCGTGGACAAAAGTCCTTGGGACACTTATGTAATTTAACGAATTATCTGTGTTTTACTACTGAAGTTTGAAAAAAGTGCTGCTTTCCTTTTAAAATCGTATTGCTGTTCCCCCTCCCCACCCAATACAATGTTGAAAATCAGAAGAAATTGCAGGTAGTAGTTTTCAACTCTGTATGGGGGGTGGGGCGCAAGGTTAGGCAGGTGAAGTAGTATTCGCATCTGGCGTGTACGCAAAAGCACCAAAAGTGCAAATTTGTCCCAAGACTTTCGTCCATGATTGTAGATACAGCCCATATAAGGGAGTACCCCCACCCCCAGGGTAATGAACTGTCAGTATGTTCACTTGGAAAACCCTTGGTAGTGTTGGGATCTTTGAGGGTTACAAGACATTAAAACTTTACAACAACCTAACCCATTAATTCATTAGGCAGAATATGGAGTTCTCAACAACTTAGGTGTTTGTTCACACCATAAATTAATTAATGAATTCTCAGTATCATATTTTTCCACTTGAATTTCTATAGACTTGGGAGGTGACAAGATTGACAGGCTGAAAGAGGAATGACCCAATACAGCTATACTTTACTGGTAAATGTGTATCTTACATTCAATCTGCACTAACAGTCCTTAATTGGCTTAAATTTTCTCAGTTAAATGTAATGTACATTAAATGACTGTAAACCGCCGGCTGATTTTGTGCTGTGCATACAGTGTACCTGTACCTTGTTCCTCCCCTGGGTTTTGTACTGCTGATCTAGATTCAGCTGAAATCAAAGGTGAGTCTGTCACATCTCTTGCATCTGTAGCTCCAGTGGCCACTAACAGGTAAAAAGATAAAATTATGTTGACCAATTGGTGA